ACAATCACACAAGCACACTGTCGTCCACCTCTTGTGCTATTTTTACTGTATACTTTGATTGTTGTATGTACACCTCCTTTCATACCCATTATTGACTTTATGTGTTACTCTTACTCATGGACGTTTTTCCAAAGTGAGCCAATTTTGGCAAATATTAACCAAAATGGTTGCGTGGCAAAAGTATTTACCAAACTAAGCTTCCAGGCTAAAACGCTGTCTCGGTCAGCGTTTTATGCCTGGGTGATTTTTAAAAAAAAAATCAAACTAAAAACGCTGTCTGGGACAGCGTCTTTGTTGTTGACCTTTTTTTAAAAAATTTTTGTAATTGCCTTTTATTTATAAAAATGTTTTTTTAAAAAAAAAACAGTTATACCAAAGATGCTGTCCCAGACAGCGTTTAACTCTGGAACTATAAACGCTGTCTCAGACAGCGTTTAAGGTTATTAATGAAATGCTGTCTGAGACAGCGTTTCTGTCGTTTTTTTTTCCCTCCAACAGCGTATTTCATTTCATTTCCTCCTCCTTCATTCTCAAACCCCTTCTTTCCCAAACTCTAACTTAATCCCCCTCTCTCTCATACTTGTGCTCCTCCGTGTAGATCGCCGCCGGCGCCGCCACCTCCACCGTCGCCCTCCGTGTAGCCCACTATACACTCCCCTCACCATGAAATAGGTATTCATTCAACTTTCTTTGTGTTTTAAATTCTAGGGTTTATGTTGGTGATTTCTAATTTTTTTGGAATTGGGTTAAAATGTTGATGAGGTTGAGTTGTTAGTGTTAAAAATGTTGAATTGTTAGTGTTGGTATTGTTGAATTATTAGTGTTGGTAATTGTTGAATTGTTAGTGTTGATAATGGTAGTGTTGATATTGTTAGTGTTGATAATAGTTTGGATAATGTTGAATTGTTGTTGTTGGTTTTGTTGAAAATTGTTGACAATGGTTGATAATTATTAGGTTTTAAACAATTGTAATTACCTACATTGTTGTGTAATAATGGTGATTTAGGGGTTCTTAGTAGTTAATTTGTAGAGTATGTAAAATTTTTTTGTTTGATTGTGGTGATTTAGGGATGATTTAACGGCTTTACGTAAAATGTGTTTTGGTTATTATGTAGAATATGGCTGGACAAAATGTAGCGTTGTTATGTCGATGGGAAGGTGAAATTTTGTGTAATGGATCAAATGTGGAGTACAGTGGAGGGAATATGGACCTTATAACACTTGAACCGAACATGACTGTGACTGATCTGATGAATGAGGTTCACAGTTGTATTGGTTCAAACCCTATGACTATTGAACTGAACCTTAAAATGAGGTGTGATACTGGTCATGGGGTGCAAGTGTTACCTGTCTCTACGAACAGGCATTTGAAAGGTTTGAGGAGCATGGTAGGAATGAAGGGTTTTCCCAATGAGATATATGTAGAAACAGTTCCTATATGTACCCAACAAAGTACTCGGGCATAACAACAAGCTACATATGTCTCTGATTACAACACCGCGTCCTTCCAAGAGCCCGCAAACCACATTCCATCGAATGCATATGGGATGGGTTCTTTCACTCGAATGATGCAGGACGACCAATTTCAATTGCCTTTTAGTTCTCATATAGCTTCACCAGTACATGCGGGGGGACGCGTGACAGTGTTCGGCCAGCCTGCTCCGTCGTCATCGAACACCGTGGCATCTTCGCCGATGCAATTGCATAGCTACTCTCCTATGCAAGGTGATGATGGTTCACCGTTTCGAGAAGAGCCAAATCATTTTGATGATGTTGTGAATAATGAATTGTCGGTGTATGATGTGTATGCGGAAATGGATGATGAGGACGAGAACGGAGAGGGGGATGATGAACCTACACAGGTGGAAGATGGTCAGCCGTTGGTTAGAACTCCCATACCTTGGTTCAGTGAGGTACCCGAGAACTATGAAGTTGATCAGTATTGGGCCGAATCGGGTAGCCACACCTCTTTTGTTCCCGGGGGAGAATTTGAGAAGGGAATGTATTTTGAGAGCAAGAAACTGCTTCAAGAAATGGTGAAGATGTATTCTATTCAGAGGAATCAATTCTACACCACAGTGACCTCGAATGATGGTGTCCTACATCTGCGATGCAAGAAGAAATGTGGTTGGATGCTACAGGGTACCAAATCGAGTGAGCACTCACGTGGTTTTACCATAGTCACGTACAAAGGCCCGCATCGGGAGACATGTATCACTGAATTACTATCTAATGATCACCCACACTTGGATTCGTCCGTAATAGCCGAGTATGTGAAGTCCTTTGTGCGGAAAGATCCTTCGTTGAAAGTGGAATTCATACAGGAACTGATCTCGAAGCAATTTTATTTCGATGTCCCGTATCGACGAGCGTGGTACGCCAAAGAGAAAGCTATAGCTGAGATATTTGGGGATTGGGAGAGTTCATATGGCAGACTTCCCCACTTCATGCAAGCACTCCTACGGTCGAACCCGGGAACATGTGTCGTATGGAAACACAAAGCTTTAGTGGATGGTGTATACTACAGCAACATGGAAGTGTTTGAACGAGTGTTTTGGACCTTTGGTCCTTGTATCGATGGCTTTAAACATTGTATGCCTGTTATCTGTATCGATGGGACGCACTTGTACGGGAAGTATAAAGGAACACTGTTGGTTGCTACGAGTGTTGATGCAAGCTTCCAAGTATTTCCTATTGCATTTGCGGTGGTTGAAGGGGAAAACACTTCCAGCTGGTCTTGGTTCCTAGGTTGTATTCGAGATCGTGTCACGCAACGGGATGGCCTTTGTGTTATTTCTGATCGGCATCCTGGGATCATTGCAGCAATGAATGATCCTAATGTTGGATTCACCCAGCCCCGAGCGTATCACAGGTTTTGTGTCCGCCACATAGCCTCTAACTTGAAGACTCACGTGCGAAGTAACGACATGAGAGACATGTTCAAGGCCGCTGCGTACCAAAGGCAAGAAAGAAAACTTCAAGCTGATCTGTGTTTCATTGGTGAGGCCTGTCCCAAGGCCATTGAGTACATTGCTCAAGTCCCGTTCCCTATGTGGTCTCTGTTTCACGACAGTGGTCCCAGGTATGGTATATGTACTACTAACTTCTCGGATACATTCAACAATGTGCTGAAAGGAGCTCGGTTTCTACCGATTATGTCCCTTGTCGAGTTAACCTTCCACAGAGTTAACAAGTATTTCACTTTGAGAAGGGAGTCTTCTGAGGCTAGGTCTGATAAGGGACTTCCATACCCCCCAAAGGTCACTGCCATCCTCGAGAAGAACACCGCTAAAGCCAGATATCATAGAGTGGATGCCTATAACCGGCGATTGCATATTTACCAAGTGACAACAGAGAGGGGAGAGGGAGTTGGTAATATAGGAGGCCACAAGCATACGGTGAACTGGCAGTTGAGAACGTGTACGTGCAACAAACCGAAGATATTCCACCTCCCATGTTCTCATGTGCTAGCAGTCTGTGCTACATACTCACTATCAGAACGGCCTTGGGTGGACCCTCTGTTGCAGTCGGCCGCCTACATGAACACCTATGCACCACAGTTCTGGCCGATCCCCTGCGAGCCTGGGCACAGTGGGCACAGTACGTAGGCCCTAAACTCATTCCGGACGGCACAATGATACGTGGAAAAGGTCGTCCAAAGTCGAAGCGCATACGCAATGAGATGGATGACAGCAACCGGCCCCCAACCAAATGCAGCCGTTGTCACCAGCAAGGTCACAACCGCACTACTTGTCCATCTAGACCAACATAGGACCTAAGTGTATATGTGTTATTTGATATAGTAGTATGTAGTGGTGTTATTTTGATGAAACAATTATAATTTTCTACATTATGTGTTATTGTGTTCAATTCGATGAATTTTATTTTGTACGTTGGATGTTCGAGATTTCCTGTTTATGCCTTTCAATCGAAATTAGTATTCAATATATTGTGTTAGTGTTTGGTGTGTAACGTTTTCAATGAACAAATATCATGGACGTACGGGATAGGACACCCGGACCTGTTGACCCTTCTGTCCTGACACTACAGGACACCCATCGGAGCGTCGACGTATGGAACCTGACAGTAATGATTCATCTTTAACGTTTTTGGATTCTTTGATGTACTATCTTTTGTTACTTATAAATGCTCCTGTGTTTTCAGGGTGACGTAGCAAAGCCACTACAGTGCAGGCACTACAGGACCCCCTGGGTTGTCCATGATCGCTGCCTTGAGTACGTGACGTACGCTGGCTTTGGCGGTGTACATTGCTTGGGATTCAGGGAGATCGACCGACACCTTGTCACGGCGTTAGTGGAGAGATGGAGGCAGGAGACGCACTCCTTCCACCTACCAGTTGGGGAGGCGACTGTGACATTGCGGGACGTGGCAATACTGACGCGCCTTCCAGTACAGGGGACTGCGGTGACAGGATCATTTCTAGTCGATCCCGTTGGATTAGTTGTGCGGGTTCTCGGGGTGCAGCCGGGTCCCAACGATGTTAGGGGCTCCGCCTTGAGGACGGTCTGGTTACGAGATACTTTCCAGGGCTGTACATCGTCCGGGGCAGCAGGACCAGGATGACCAGTATGAGCCGTACATCGCTCCGCCTCGCCCTGCAGCTGATGAGGCTTACGGTTGCAGGTTTGTAACAATTGTCATTTTTTTTCCCATATACGATTTCATTTTGTAAACATACTTACCAAATTTGTTGCCCTAGGTGGATGGTCCCCAAACTCACACAGGCACATGCGGCGACGGGTCTCCCATACTACCGAGACGCCCTTGATCGACTCACTGAGGATCAGGTACAAACTCTGAAGACATTTGTAATCATTTAGGTACTGTGTATACTGATTGTGGACTAACTTATTTAGGATGTGTTATTGCAGATCACATGGGATCCGTATGTACCGGAGTTGGTAGATGTCATGCCTGCACATCTACTGGAGCATCAGGGAGAGTGGCGTGCCCGGGTCCCCCTGATCTGTTTCAAGGTTATGGAGAGTCACCTACCTGACCTCGTCATGCGACAGTTCGGACTGCAGCAGCCTATTCCCCAGAACTGTGACACTGTTGTGCGCCTTCACGACATTGACCGTCGGGGAAAGACGGAGACAAACTGGGCACTGGAGCATTGGCAGTATCTTCAGCTATGGGAGCAGCGGTTGGGTCATGTCGTTCAGGGTTATCCCATGCAGGGCGTTATGGATCATGACGATCCGTACATGGTGTGGTACAGGCTTATCACACGCCGTTTCATCAACCCCAGCTACACACCACCGTCCACCCATTACCACCCGGCACATGACGTCATTAGCGGATATGTGAGTTTCTTTTACTATACTTATCATCCTCATTTTTTAACTTTTTTAAATATCATGTACTTGACTGATCGATGATTACTACAGGCGGCGGATATGGTGGCGATGTATGATGCACTGTCCCTCGCCCTTACAGACGGACCCACCAGAGCCCAGGTCCAGCGGATGCGAGATATGTCCGCGACTTCCTTACGCAGACATGGTCACGGTCATCTCATCCAACAGCGGGACGGTGATGATGGTCACTCCATCCATTCGCGGTTCGACCCCGGCCACAGTAGCAGTGGAGGTGATCCTACGTCGCACACAGAGGCAGAGGAGTACATCTTCCACAGTTATGCACCCTTTAGAACCCAGGAGGACGCATCGTCCAGCCAGCTCACTCCCCCCCCCCCCCGCGCCGGAACCCATTCACCACCATTCACCATTACACTCGGCGTCGTCTAAGACGAAGGGACGACAGTGAGGCTAGGGAAGGGTTACACCAAATTGATGAGTAGTGAACGTATTGTATCATTGTTTTGTCCTTTTTCCTGGAATGCTATATATAACGATTGCATTATCAATATAAGACATGCTGGTTGAATGAATCTGTTTGTGTTTTGAAGTTTTGTTTGCTTATTTATCCAAATCGGATTTATGTCAGTCAAAATAGATCCTTCAGGGCTAATGTACATTAAACAACGGACATTTGGAATCCATAGTCGAAAATGGGGAAGAAAGGATGGCCCGTGGTGGTTAATGTGGTTGTTCATGGTGGTTTTAGTGTTGTTGGTTGTGGTGGGTGGTTATCGACAGTTGTTGAATGGTTGGGGTTGGTGGTGGAGCTGGTTGAAGTGTTGTTGGAGGTCAAAAGTGGTGGCAGATGGTGGTCGATGGTGGGGGTTGTTGGTGGATTGTGGTGGCAAGAATCATGGCAGGGGGTGGTGGGTGGGGGCAGAAGAAAGTGGCAGATCAGTGGCAAAAGGCTGATTCTGCTGCTGTTTTGCACACCAGCAGAGAAACGCTGTCCCAGACAGCGTTTTAGGTTGAAAATAAGACGCTGTCTGAGACAGCGTCTTTGGTATAACTGTTTTTGTTTTTTAAAAATATTTTTATAAATAAAAGGCAATTACAAAAATTTTTTAAAAAAAAGGTCAACAATAAAGACGCTGTCCCAGACAGCGTTTTTAGGTTGATTTTTTTTAAAAAAAAACCCAGGCATAAAACGCTGACCGAGACAACGTTTTAGCCTGAAAGCTTAGTTTGGTAAATACTTTTACCACGCAACCATTTTGGTTAATATTTACCAAAATTGACTCACTTTAGAAAAAGGTCTCTTACTCATCATCCAAATAATACAAACAACTTACCATTAAAATTTAAACGAACCCCAATAACATAGAAAGAGACAATATGTTTGTCTTTCTTTTTGTCAGTCCTTTCCCCCCTTATTTTCTGCTTCCTTTATTTGTTTACTTTACTTTACTTTACTTGAACCCTTTCTTACACATTACCCCTTTTTCTTCATAATTTGGGTTTGGGTTTTTACCATTGGGCTTCTTTAACGTAATTGAATGGCTTTTTAACCATCTTACTTCCTACGACTCTACAGTATATTCTTAACACTTTCAACTTCCAAGGTAAGGTGTTTACGTACTTCCTCTGTTTTTTTAATATTGCACCACTTATTTTTTAAGGAACTTTCACAATTACTGCACATTTGTACCATATCCATTTAAGAAAAAGAAATATATATGTTCACACTATAAATACCTAATATGCCCTTATTTTTCAACACTTAACCTTTTATTTTATGTCTACAATCACAAGGGCAATTTTGTATATCTACCTTTCTCTCTCATCCTTTTTCCACTACTAAAATAATTTGTGTTCAACTCTTATGGTGCAATAAAAAAAGAACGGAGGTATTGTTTTGGGTGAAAACTTATGGTTATGGAGTAAGTGTGTACTCGTACTTTTATAAAGGACATCGTAAACTATGGAGTTGGGTGTATATGAAACTTTTTATAGACACCCTATTATACCGTGCACCCAATTAATTTAAGATTAGGTTTTGCTTTTCATTTGATGATCAAATTTTTTAAAAAAAAATAATCATCAAAATAAGGACAAATACTCATGGATGCACCCAAGTATATGTAACAATCTCTCAAATGTATATACGAATATCATAATATTAAGCTGATATTTTGCATAATTTTAACACCTAATTAAAAAATAAGTTAAGATAATTTTATGGAAAACATTTTTAATATTCCGTAAGGGTTAATTAATTTTAAATTACAATTAAAATAATTCTATTAAAGTCTAATAAAATAAGATAAGTTTAGAAACCATAATTCAAGTAAAACCTTTCTAATTCGTATACCCTTAAGATTATGCTATGCTATACACACTTTCTATAGCTAGTGGCATCGAGGCAAATATTGGCCATAAAGGGTTTAATGATTTGCTCTGTGGATTTCATCAGTGTTTGTACCAAAAGATATTCTCCCTTCTTCCCTTTGCTCTTAAAAGATTGTTACATTCTTTTATTAGTAAATTGTTCCACTTGTAACCTCACTTGCTCTCTCTATCTTACTCAATTACTATTCACACGCATATACACAAATTTACACTTGTTTCTTAAAAAAAAACTAAGGTTTAAGACAATCTTTTAGAACAAATGAAGTAATAAATTAGTAGTGAAACCTTAATAAAATATCAAAGTTTTCAAACTATTTTAGGACCAATGAAATGTTCAAATTATTCTAAAACAAGTGAAGTAATATTATTAAAATCTACTCTATGTTCTTTAAAACTATTCTTAGAAAATCAAAATACCACAAGTGTATTAAAAATCTGATAATTGAAAAACATATGGCAAAAAAAATCCTTTTTTACAAAGGGAGAGAAGGCTATAGCTTTATAAGCTTATAGAGTTATAGGATTATAGTCAATAGGTAAGAGGACTATGAGCCTATGATAATTTGATTAAATAAAGTCCACTAAAACACTAAAGCTTTGCACTTGCCTTTAATCTCATTAGTCATTACTACTCTCTCTCCTACCTCCTCCCTCCCACACTCTCTCTCCGTATCATAATTCCCTAATCACCACTTTCACTCTCACACTAAAAATGCTACTACCTTCATACCTCCTCCTCCTCCTCCTACACCACTCCTCCGCCTTCTCCACCACCCACCACCGGCGACTGCTCCACCACCCTTTCATCCCTTCCACCGCCACTCCCTCTCTCCCCCCTTCTCCTTCCCCTTCCCCTTCTACTCACCTCACTCACCCTTTCTCCACCTCCCTCCCTTCCCCTTCTGAAAACAACAACAATAACCCCTTCTTCCCTTCCTACACCACCCCACCACCGCCCTCACAACCACCACCTTCCACCACCACAGCACTCCCAACCTTCCCCGCCAACATCTCCTCCCTCGCTCTCCCTTCCTCTTCCTCCTCCCCCCATCACTCCCACTTCTCCCCTAAACTCACCCTCTTCATCCTCCTCCTCTCTCTCCTCACTCTCTCCCTCTTCATCTCCCTCTCTCTCCTCCTCCTCCGCCGCCGCCGCCGCCGCCATCACCACCCCTCCAAACCCCACTCTCCTCTCTCTCCTCCTCCTCCTCTCCCGCCCTTGAAAATCCCCGCTACCAACCGACATACACACACTCCATCCCACACTAGCACCGACTTTCTCTACGTCGGTAACGCCTTAACCAACTCCCGCGACTTCCAAACCTCCTCCTCTTCCGCCCCCATTCAAGTACTCCCTTCCTCAACCTCCGAAATCTACCTTAAGCTTTGCGGGGATTCCCCTGAACTCCGCCCTCTTCCCCCTCTTCCCAAACAAAACTCCCAACAACAACATTATGAACCCAACATTCGAGGAGGTGGAGCTGAGGATGAAGAATTCTACTCCTCGAGAACTGACGAAGAGGATAATAACTATTACAATAACTACGGCTTGAATTCCTCTCCTGCAAGAACTTACTCTGACTCGCTAGCGTCGGACTCTGATGTTTCTGTTGAGATACAGACTTTAGCGGCGAGAACTTCGCATTTTCCGGCAACTGGGAGGATGGGCCCACCTGCTGCGCCGCCGCCACCTCCGCCTCCTGGGGTGGGACCGGGACCGCCGCCGCTAGTGCCGCCTTCTGGGCCGGTGGTGTTTAAGAGTAGCGGGAATTTAGGAGAGAGAAAGAGTGGAGAGAGAAAGGAGGAAAATGGGAAGCCTAAATTGAAGGCATTACATTGGGATAAAGTTAGGGCTACTTCTGATCGTGTTATGGTGTGGGATCAGCTTAAACCTGGCTCTTTTCAGTAAGATTTTTCATTAATTTCTTAAGATTTATGCTACTTTAATTAATTATATTAATTAGTCTGATGACATTATGCTAAATTATTCTTTCTTCATTTTTGTAGTTTGCTATTGTTGGTTAGCTTGGTTTCGATTCAGGTTTAATTTCCAGTTTCCATTAATAAAATATTCGGACCAAATCCCGTCTTTATCATTGCCTGTACACCCAACAGATAAAGTTTGGAAGTAATTTGTTTGGTTTCGGGTCGGTTCTCGGGCTAAGTAAACTATTTGGTTGCATAGAGATAATCTGGGTGTTCGAGGTTGGATATTATTTGGTTTTTAGGCATGAATTTGTGTTCAAATACCAAGTTATTCGGATTGGTTTGGAATTATGTAGGGAATAAGTCAATTTGTCAGTCACTGTCTTGCTTTAATTTAAGCTATACTAATACTAATACTAATATTGTGAGTATTTTATATGAGTGATACTCTTTGAGCATTGAATTGCCAAAAATTTCATATTCCAAGATATTGGACAAAGATTTTCATGAGGATGTATGTGTTCAGTTCATATTTAAACCCGTTTGTGAAATTAAGCTTAAAGGTTTACAGAGCGATTAAACCGTAACCAATTACCAGCAAGGTTAATTTCGACTTGTGCATATCTCGATTGAACGAAGAAATGAACTAGTTTTTGTGTGTTATAGATTGAACGAAGAAATGATAGAGACATTGTTTAAAGCAAATGGTCCTGGTATAGCTGCAAAAGATGGCCCACGTAGATCAATACCGCCTTTGATGGATGAAGAGTATCGAGTACTTGATCCTAAGAAATCTCAAAACATAGCCATTCTATTGAAGGCTCTCAATGTGACAGAAGGGGAGGTTTGTGAAGCACTTTTGGAAGGTATAGTAATTAGCTTTCCCATTAGATATTAATAAAACACAGTGTTTCGGATTAGTCTTAAAATATAATTGTATATGCATGTTGGCTTATCTATTTTTCTTAGTGCAATATTATTATAGCATGTTGTTTTGATTTCTGTAATCTAAGTGCGTTGCTTTTTGACTTGCCAATAAAACATTTATCCCCACAATCCGCTTGAGCAACTTTGTCTCTCTAATAGCATTTAAATTATTAGCAACTTGTGTCCGCGAGGTGGCTGATTTTTCTATTGCTTGTCTAGGGTTTGTACTGTCCTGTTATTTTGTAGTGCATTCTGTTCATAAATGACAATGAAAAACAATTTGTAGTAGGCTGTTAACGTACTATCTTGATGAAATGATTTTAAATTGTTGTTAACGTACCCATGTGAATTAAAGAAACAAATACGGAGTATGTTCTGTACAATATTTAATCCCTTCAGGTGAGCTTACTTTTGGATGACTCGGTTTTGTTACAACCGTATTGTCATATATGCTTAGCTACACGATATGTTTGTCTCTTTTGCTTTATGCCCTCTCTCTGTATAACTTTGGGATATATGGGCAGTATAATTTCCTAGTAAATGTAAGGTATAGGTACTTGTGATGAATAATAAAAATTCTGATAGTCAATGTATGTTATGAAGCACCCTTTTACAGTTTCCCTTTGATTGATATACTACCAAGCAGCGAAATTCGATTTTCTGAGTGTATTTTATCTAATCTCTGTATTTTTCTTTTCCTCTGTTCAGGTAATGCAGATGGCCTTGGGTCAGAGCTTCTTGAAAGTTTACTTAAAATGGCTCCTACCCACGAAGAAGAACGGAAACTCAGGGAGTACAATGATAGATCTCCTTTGAAGCTTGGTCCGGCAGAGAAGTTTCTCAAGGCAGTACTTGATCATGTACCTTCTGCATTTAAGAGAGTCGATGCTATGCTTTACATAGCTACTTTTGATTCTGAAATTGAATATCTTAGGAAGTCATTTGAAACATTGGAGGTAACCTAATAATATGTTTGTTTTATGCCTCTGAGGTTTTGAATGCATATCTGAAAATCATTAACAAGGAAATTTATCTTATTATAGGCAGCATGTGCTGAACTTAGAAACAGCCGAATGTTCTTGAAACTTCTAGAAGCAGTCCTCAAGACAGGAAACCGAATGAATGTTGGAACCAATCGTGGTGATGCGCAAGCAATTAAGCTCGACACACTCCTCAAGCTCATTGATGTCAAGGGAACTGATGGGAAAACCACCCTTTTGCACTTTGTTGTGCAGGAGATCACAAGATCTGAAGGTTCTCGTCTTTCCAGTACCAAAAACAATCCAATGACTGAGAAACCAAGTGACCAACCATTTTTGCACAATGACATTGAGTTGAGAAAGAGAGGGTTAGAAGTCATTTCTGGCTTAGGAGGGGAGTTGACAAATGTCAAGAAGGCAGCTGCCATGGATTTCAATTCCCTTAGCATGGATGTGGCAAAGTTAACTCAGGGAATCATAAAAGTAAACGAAGTTCTTCAGCTAAATGAAAACTTCGTAATTGTTGGGACTCACAATAGGTTTTCAGAGTCTATGAATGGCTTCTTAAAGAAGGCTGAGGTAGAAATCGTAAGGATTCAAGCTCAGGAGAGCTGTGCTCTATCTAGGGTTAAGGAGCTAACTGAGTATTTCCACGGTAATTTGGCTCACGAAGAGGCTCATCCATTGAGAATATTTATGGTGGTGAGGGATTTCCTTGGTGTGCTTGATCAAGTATGCAAGGAAGTTGGAAAAATAAATGAGCGGACGGTTATAAGCTCAGCTCGTGCTATTTCTGTACCAGTAAATCCATCAACGCCACCACCTTTCCCGGAGTTCAGTGTGACGCATGGAGATAGTTCCTCAGACGGTGATAGTATCACTGAGAAGTAGCACTTTCAATGACAGATTGTGTTGATTCTTTTTGCTCTATCTTCATGACTCGTGAAGATACCCACAATCTGTATGCAATTACATATAATTATATTATATACTATATAGTATTTAATGTACAAATATCCTTGCAGAAGGCTCATTAGTATTAGATCATTTGTATGATTGCTGAAACTTCTGAATATGATTTTGCACATTATGTAAAAAGTATTTCTAGTATAGCTCATATATTGCATGGAGCACCAATAGTCCGTTAAAGTAAAATACACTATCAATGTGACAATTAATTTTCAACAAGATAATAGCAAAAAGAAATATCAATTTCTAATTTGTTTTTGCAAATTTATGAAAGTAGGGCCACCTAAGGTGAATAGTTGGACCATAATAGCCAAAATAAGGAGTACATTGAGACTTTGAGAGATTTAAAAATGGAATTAAAAAAAAAAAATAAAAAAAACAATGGGGGGTTACCAAAGCATATGATATGAATATATGGTTATATACTTATATATGGAGATGAGTCATAAGGCAGGCCATGCATATGGGTGGGGTATTAGGGCTGAAAACCCGTGATAAGAGTACAGTATACTATACATGTACTACAGTATTTAATGTCAACTCAATATTACAGGTATTTACTTCATCAAAAGAAAGGAAAAAAAAAAAAAAAAAAAAACTAAAAACTGAATTTTGATACTTCATTTGTTTTAGTGAAATCGCAACACTGGCTAATTTGGGTTACATGTTACTCTGTAGAACTTTTTTTTTTGTTTAAATTTTATTTTATTTAGTCTTGGATACCAGTTATCCAATTTGAATTCAAGTGTTTGACATCTCCATTCCAACCTTTTTGTTTAATCTACACTAATTTAAAGTAGTATAAATACAATTAGATTTGTGAGTGCTTTAATTGTAGGAAAACCTAACAATAGAAACGTGGCTTGTTATTTTGGTATTAACTAAATTCAATTGTAGCTTAGGTTTGTTTATGGTGGTTTGATAACAAGCTAACAAACAAGCCAGAATGTAATTTTGAATTTGATGTATAAGAGCATGTCTTACATAAGTGCAATATTTCAACTCCAGATCATATGAAAGAGGCCTTTTCCATTTCTACTTTCAAACCATTTCATTTTAAAAATAATACCCTACTTTTAAAACCTATTGGTCCAATCATAAATTGTATTATGATCATACAAATGATCGACGAATAAATAACAATTTTAATAATTTATTTATTTTATTTTATTACTTGCAACAAAATAGGAAAAGAAAAAACGTCTTTTTTGTGCGGTTGACTACATTGTGTGGCCACCTGCAAAAAAGGAGTAATCATATTATATTGATAGAGTCCCCCCTACAATACTACGTACTCCCCTTTTTTTTTTTTTTTTTTTTTTTTTTTTTTTTTAAGGTAGAGTTGGATTTGCACATTTGCACATTTGCAAATACACAATTATGACCAACAATAACTTTATTTAAAGGTTAGTAAAAATTATGAAAAAAAAATTAATTTATAAAAGTAGACATTATGACAAATCCAACAATATATTATATGATCATATTTATATATATATTGGTAAAAAAATTAAGTCAATGATGACATATAAATAGTGGAAAATCCCAACTCTACCTAAAAAAAAAAAGACTAATAAAATAACTCCTATTATACTGACAAAGTAAACTTTACAACACAGAAAGAGTAACCCCAATATTATTAACTAAGTAACCCCTATAATACTAAATAAGCTTTATAACAAAGAGTAATCATGAAAGCTGGCCACACAATATAACCAGCCACATATAATAATTTGTGAAAAAAAACCAATTTATCTTTCGTGACCGAACAAAACATCAATGACGGACTTCCACAACAAGGGCTTTATAAGAGTACAACACCACCATTCCACCAGCGTGACATGTAATAGACTAACACTAAATCAATAATAGCCTTTGTTTTAAAATAGTACTTAGGTTCAATTGTATAGAGATAATGATTGATGAGGTATAGCTGATTTATCATTATATTTATTATATACTCACTTTGTTCTTGTTTTAAATATTCAATTTTATTTCAAAATCATCTTTTGTATAATTAAGTGGCTTAATAATAAGGTTAATGCACTTGAAAAGCCGAAGCTATATATATTTTGCATGGTGGGTAGTTGGATACTCTTCAAATCATATAAACGATGTGACCAAAAATGATTAGACTTTATTATGCCAAGATATTCAAACCAATGAAAGTGATACCTAAATAGTTAATGATTGGAGTATATAATAATAGGTGACTCATAATATTGGCGGGAAAAAAGGTTTACTTCTTCAACTTTTTTGGTGTTTTATTTTTGGAAAAGCACTAGTAAGTAGATTAATGGGGACGAAGTGTTGCAAAAAGCCAATAAAATAGGGAGGAATCCAAATTACTAATTGCTTATCTTACGTGCATGAAAAGTGGGAAATTTTTGTGTGGTGCTACCAATAAAGGAGCACAAAACCTTTGATAAATACAATTTTGGTGATGATGATGGTCAAATTGTATTTTTTTCATGAAATGGGGTTCACTGTCTTAGTCATAGCCTTCATTTTTGTCAAAAAGGTAAAGGAGCCTTGTTGTGTCCAATATTAGGTGCTGGCTAGCTGGGCCGTATACAATAGTCCTTAGTTCGACTTCTTTTTCATATTAACTTATTGTTGCTTTTGTGTTTTGAAATCGAGTTTTAACTGTAAAAGTTTCTGGTATTTAGATAGGAGTACATGTATGTTTTAAAATACAAATCCATTTTTAATGTTTATATGGATTTTATCAAAATTTAACGAGTGACACAATTTGTTCTTTTTCAAATTGAAAAATTGACCATTAATATGAACCGAAAGAATTACTAATTACTTTTATTTTATTTTATTTATATTTTTTGGAAAAGTCACCATAATACCATAACTTTATTAAGTATAAATCAGATTTTTTTTTTTAAACAAGTATAAATCAGTTTTAATTCGGTAAAATTAAGTTAAATAGTATAATTAGCTTTATTCAATTATCAAAAAAAAAAAAAAAGTTTAATTAGTCAAAATCATTAAATTCATAACAAAAATTTTTGAGTAAAAAAATAATCCATTTTAACTCATATACATAAGTTTTAATGTGGATGTCATATCAGCTAGTTTAAATAGTTAAAGTTTTGGGGGTGGGTACTTAAGACTTAAGATAAAATCACATCTATATCATTTATCCTTCATTTCTTTGCAGGGGAAAAATGAAGTAATTAGTCCAATGTCCCGTGTGAAATTCTTCTAGAGATGGTGTAAACATGAATTTCGACGTTCATTGATACAGATGGTAGGATTAATTCTTTACGCGTTCATCTTGTATAGATGACTACACTTCTACTGGTGACAAAGCTTTTTCTGTTCATTCGTAATCTGCATGAAGAGGCTTCTCTTCTGCTGATGACTAGTTGACTACAACAAACATCAAGTAGACGATAGGAAATGGGAATTCTGTGTAACTGTAACAAAGTAAGTAGTTTCAATCTTGGTAACTTTATATTTTCCTAATTACTGTATTTGCGTTATATTTTGATAAATTATAAATTGAATTTGGACTTGTGTTAGTCTTATACTCTTATTACACAGGTTGCTTTCATAATTTTAATCATTGCCCTCTCTGCCATCAGAAGCCGGGACAGAGAAGAGAAAGAATCTACTGAGCATTACAGACAATGTATACTACAAATACTGTACAATCTTATCAAAACAGATGACCTTACTTGCACTAATCTCTCCAGTCAGAGCTCATTACCACTTATATATTCAGCAACAGCAGAAGTATTAAGCTTTCCATCTAGGTATTTCACTTAAGTCACTAACATCGCTAATTGTCGTGTTGGTGTTCTGCATCCATACGCTCAATCACCCTCCTTGCTTCCTCATCTGTCTAAGAAAAAACTTCTTATCTTCAGTCCATTTGTTCTGGCCTCTGGACGGACAGTGAAGGTAAAGTAGAATTTATTTGAAACCTGTTGGAAATAGGGGGAATAAAAAGTATCAAAAAACTACTTCCCTGAGTTTTGACTGACAATAATTAAACTAATGTGTTGCAAATGAATCTAGTTGACATATGATTTTAGGGAGTTTTGTGTCAACAAATAAATAAATACTGACCTCACTGATTCTAAGCTCAGGACATGTAACATGAGCAACAACTTCCACATTGATAAGTGGCCGAGCTGGGTTCAGAAGTTCGGTATAGAGAATACAGGAGTACAGGACTTCATACGAAGAAAGTTACCAACATCCACCTGCAAAGAGAAAGCCACAATCTAATATGATGACTATAACGTTTTAGATGCAAAAATACAGTCTTGGTAGTCATGTGATGCTGATCTCACACGCAAGATTTGGACACTTGAGAGACTGATGGGATGTATTTACCAAGCGGAGGGCAATGCAACGACTGATGTATATTTGATGGAAGTTTCGGAAAGTTGTCATAAAAAAATGCTAATCTTTCTTAACACAAACCCCTCAGCTCACTCAGAGTTCTAGCAAAGCAGCAAAAAATGTATTAAACCTTCCTAAGGTTTCTTCATATCATACCTGATAAATTTATTAATTATGACCAAATTGTTCGATGAATCAACTTATAATTTGTATTAGAACCTAGTATCAATCTTCCAATTTCTAAAATCAACTCCAAACTAACCTCTCTATACTTCACTTCAGCCACAGATAGTAGAACAAAACTTCCAGACGGAACCAATAACCAAACTGAATATTTGTCTATTCATTTCATCTCTAAACGATGAGAGCAACAAGCAACCCTTACTCCAAATTAGCCATGATAGGATATCAAGGAAATAGAAATAATGTGTAATGGACTAATAGTCATCACTTACCGGTTTCACAAAGTAAACATGATCAACTTCTACAAAACGAGGTGAGGCTCCATCAAAGGTATATGCTGTTGAAAAGGCAAGCTCAGATGCTTTGCGCATTAGATAACCACCAAAGATACGACCATGAACGTTTTGTTGCTGTGGCTGACAAATCATGGAGCTCTGTTGGCAAGTATCTCTTATGAGGATGCTGTCCATATCAGCTAGAGCTGGCAAATCAACAAATTCTTGTCCTTCAGCCAACAGCTTATCAATCCTGCTCACAACCTTCTTGTTTTTTTCTTTATTCTGTTCAGCTCTCTTCAATCTGCGCATCTTGTTCCTTGCT